TATTGGACCTATATTCCAACCTAGTAACACTCCGATACATTTCTTTCGAATTCTCGTAAGCCGGGTTGAAGGAGAAACCAGAGCTTTTCAGCTTACAAAACTTTTTTCCGTAAATCAAGTTCAGCCTCATGCGGCCAAGGTCCTCGGCAGTTTACTTAGTCATCTGAAACTGACTTATCCTGGACTCCAAGCTTCTGTGGAGGTCTCATGTTGAGGTGGCCACCTTTAAGGCTACGAGAGCGATGATGGTGTGTAAACTGCCAGCGGGTGAATCCTGAGGGTGCATCCCGAAGATCCTAAGATGGATACATACCGTAATAGCGCGACCGCTAGTGATCTATGATGCGGTGGTTAGGATTTCCAGGACTTCTCTGGGAACGGTGAGGCAGACGCTCACCAAGATTGAACAGCTGTCAAGTGTTTGCATTACGGGAGCGACGTAGAGTACCTCTATTATAAAGAGTCTCATTCAGGTGAGCACCCTACAGTGGTATACTGACGGCTCTGATCCTGAGGGGATTAGAGCAGGCGTTTATAGCCCCAGACTGAAGCTTTCGGTGCCCCAGGGAACCTTCTCTGGCATCTTTGAAGCGGTGGTGTATGCCATCAGTCTGCTTCTAATGTTCTCTCATCATTCGAGACCAAGTCCTCTGAAGTTAACGATATTCAATGATATGGGTGCCAGGGCTCTTGTGGGTCGGGGGAAATGAGGAAGCTGATCAGTTGGCTAAAGTACCTGATCCCCTCTTTGCAGTGGTTCCCAGCACCACTAAGGAAGTGTTCAGAAAGAAAATATCAAACTGAGGGAATTGACCATGGGTCTACGTCAGGCAAAAAACTTATTAGGAGATATAGGCTTCTCATGGATCTTCCCAAGGAGAAACTAAGAATCTTTACAGGCATTTAGACGGGTCATTGCAGGCTGTATAATTTAGGAATCTGGTCCAGTGACACTGCCAAGGAGACTCCTCTACACCTGCTTATGGAGTGTGAGGTCTTCTGGATCTATTCTGAAATTTATAGAGTCTCTATGGCTAGTCGAGGAGTTGTGATGAGCTAAGCGCACAATGTACCTAGCGGTCGTACTGCTTTAATTAAATATCTATCTATCTATTTATGTATAGTAAATGACAGTAGTTTTCTTTTAATAAATTGGCACGAAAACTACTACGAAACTGGTCTCAGCATAGGCTACCAAATACCTCGCTAGGTAGCGCTGGGGGGAGAGATAGAAAACCTGTATTTATGATTCGCATATTGGCGCTTACGATAGAAAATAAATTTGCAAAAAGTTCACTCACCAAGCAGCGAATGAAATTTTAGGAGTCTATAGCGGAAAAATAGGCAGACATTCATTTTAAATATCGTTACCTTGATATAAAAAGGATCTAACTTACTTTTGTCCGCCAACTGTGGCAACGCCTCCACTCAAAATCTGATTTTATTTGACCTTTTCAAGGTTTCAACATTTTCGGTGTTTAAAATTCCCATAGATTCCCATATGTAGTAAACCAGCCAGTCAGCCAGCCAGCCAGTTACTCAACTTACACAGCATCAACTCCACCACACAGAGAAGCACCAACAACAAGGTATTCCCTCAATTATTTTTTCTTCGCCGATCGCATGTCCATCCATATACGCATACAGCAATATAAACAATCAGCTTGTCTACCTGTCTGTATGTATTTGCAACTTCGTTTGCCGCCTGTACAAACGCTTCAATACCGCTCAAGCTCATCATTACCAATCGTCAATGTTAAGGTGCCTCATTGACGGCAAGCGCTGGGTGCTTTCCTCAGCAACAGACTCCTTGCAGACAGCAATCGAGGGTGTGACAGGCACCAGCAGCAGCAGCAACAACAACAGCACAACTTTGTGAAACCTTCCAACAACTGCAGCGACTGACAGCATTTTAAGCACAATTCTGCTGCACCAATACAACTACCTGAACCACAGAGCCTCCTTCTTCACATTTGCCATTCGCTTTTGGTCTTCAAGTGTGCTCTCTTTTATTTAGTTACTTACTCTCCGAAGACGAAATGTTGGCGCGCTGCGCCGCTGCTGCTGCTGCTCCAGCAACAAAACCTATGTTTAAATTTAAGAGGGTGCCAACACTCGAGTCAGCCGTGTGTGAATTACACCCTTTTGCACCGGTATATTGCGCTTAATTATTGTAATTTATTATTTAATGTAATTCCTTTTGCTGTCGCTGTGTGCATGAAAACAAGCTGTCCTGTCGGCTGGCGACTGGCGACTGGCTGGATGCCTGGTGATGAAATGTCGAAAATTTCCGCAAATTAAGAAAGCACAATTGAGGGATTTGCCATTGATCGATTGCTACTGCAGGCGAAAAGTATAAAATTATTGTAATTAACTTGTTGGCATGTTGCCACTGCAATGCTGCATATTGCTGCAGCGCTTGCCCACCAACTACCGACCACCGAGCTGCTAAGTGCGCACAGAGCGAGTAGAGTAAGCACATGGTGGGCATGGCTAGACGACGTGGTGCGGGTGTGTATGCACGTATGTCGGCTGATAAAGGCGAGATGTTGGGCTTTTATGTTTGTTTACATTGTAGCATCATTTGATAAGCATCGATTTAAGGTGACCAACATAATTTGTATTTGGTACAACCCCTTATTGTTGTGAATGGGAATTTAAAAAATGCGTAAGTACAAACATTTGCATATTGATTTACATATGTACATAGTTGTGGGAATATCCGGGGATTTAAAGATAAGTTCGATAAAGTAATTTGGAGCTTATAAAGCTCATGGGATATTAAACTGGTCTCAAGGAAATTTATTCCAAAAACTTAGTAAAATTAACAGCTGGGGAAGATATTCAAAAAATACTGCAATGGTTGCTCAATAGAATAAGAAGAAAGTAGAAATTACCTTAACAGAGGTGCCTACAGAGTTCGCAGCTTGCCTAGCTGGCTTAGATGCCGGAACCTGTTCTGATAACGATGCGATGCTGTTGCTAATCGGTCACTTAATGCAGTTTTGAAGATCGGTGGCTTCTCCCAAGCCTTAGTCTAAAAGGCAGTCTTAAAAGGTGTACTCGGTTTTCCTCCTTTCCCCAGTTGTAATGACACTTGAAGCCCTGCTGCTCCCGTACTACACATGCCACCTGACCCATGCATTCCGTAAAATGCCCAGCACCACCCAACTAGTTGCCTTATCTGCATCCCATCATGTGAGAGAACAGTTTTAGTAGTAGCTCTGGATCCATAAAAGGCGATCAGGGATATATGTCTGGCTGGATCTCCTTCTCTGACCACAAAAGACAAAGCCGCATATGCTCCCAGTCGGGGAGCATCTGACAAAACCATTGGACCCAACATCATTCCGACAAACCATTAACGGCATCCACAGAGAGTCCCTCATCACTTTGCGTGATGCTCGCTGCGTGAATATCGTTATTGGAGCTAAATCACCACCAATAGCAGACAAAGGGCTTCAGCTGCCGCGTGAGACCCGCTTAACTCAACATTACAATAAATTATATCTCTGTTTTTTTTCGCTCAAAGCGCTCAAAGTTCTCCATATATTTTATCTTCAGGAGACTTCCATTTACCATTTCTAATACTAGTAGTAGTTTTAGAGGACCTATAAATGCTAGTTTATATTAAAAATCTTAAAATATAAAAAAAAAACTTTAATACCAAATTATTATTACTGAAGGTCTCCTGAAGAGAAACAAAGTTTTCCGATCGAAATATATTGATTTTCAAGAATACTGTGCCATTCATACGAATTCTCCCATATAAATACATGGAAACTTTGAGCGCTTTAGCGACCTCTTAATGCTTTTTTTTCAAAATAAAACACCAGGAGTATAATTTTTTTTTTTTAGTATTGAACAATTCCGACTTTACTTATTTTGGACCACCCCAATGCACATATATACATACATAGACTCTAGCATATAAGTTTGTATTTTTAATCGATTCACATAATTTTCAAATTATCTACATATGTCATTAATACAATTTAATAATACTGCATTAAATAAATTTTTCAATTATATGCAAAAAACCTTACGGCGGGTCAATTTTTTTACCATGGGCCTGACATCAGTTAGGAGTTTGCGAATTGCAAAAATAGGTTCCGAAATAAATGTAAAATTTACATTGCTGCGACCACTGATGGAAGTTTTAAGAAAAAGTGCAGATATGGATACCTCTTACCAAAAACCTCTTATAGCATGTTTTTATAAAAAAAAAGAAATTAAGCAGTTCTTTATGATACTATAACAAAATTTTTGCTTAGAATTACACGCGGAATGCTTTTGCGATATACGCGCAAAGTAGAAAAAATCTCTGAAACAAACTGACCCGCCCTAATATACATATATGTAATTGTACGATCATTTTTTCTTCCGACCATATCTGCCTTAGTAAAATGCTTACGATATTACTTTAAAATAAATAATCAGCTTTGGCAAGCAGCTTTTCAGACGATTTTTCAACTTGAAACCAAAAGAAATGAAAATAAAAGAAAGCAAAGTATTAAAATCCAAATAAAAACAAAATCAGCTGTGAGGTTGCCATTGGAAACAAAATTGTATTGTTTATTTACAAATTTTTTGTTTACAAACACAAAAAATTTAAAAACGTTGCTAAGCAATTCGAATGGTTTTGAAGCCGAAATCAAAAAAAAAGAAAACGGCGATCAAAACAATTTTTTTTATAAATTGTGTACGGATATGAAACCAAAATAAAAACATAATCAGCTGTTGGTTGCTATTAGAAACCGAACTTAAAGTGTTTTTTTTGCGCTTCATTGTTTACAAACAAATCAACCTCAAATAACGCTGCCAAGCAACCGCAATAAACAAATTCCCCTTTCGTATTCAAAATAGCAACAGAAACTTTGCATTGACAACAAAAGCCTGACTACATGGAAACTGTTGCATATTTGCCAAATAGTTTTCAAAAATTTTCACATTTCGAAAGCAATTTCCAAAGCGAATAGACGCAGCTGCTTACCAGCAAAATGTCCATGAAGGGCAAATCATCCGAAAATGCTGTGGACAAAGATGCTGCCGGTGATGCGTTCAGCATGTCGAGTAGTTCCTCGATGGATGGACAAGGTGAGTGGGTATTCTTTTAAAGGCTGCTATATATTTTTCACTTACATACATACATATGTATTACGCAATCGCTTTCTGTTCCGCAGAGGCTGCTGATAAAAAGAAAAAGGATTTGCTGCCCATCGCCCCCGTCATACCGGTGCCGGAGTATAGCGAAGAGGATTTGAATAAGCTCACCATGTACGTGCAGCGTATGACAATGCTGTTCGCTTTAGATCATCGCGATTGGAATGAGCAAACACTCAATACTATCAAACGTTGGTTCATGGAGGTGAATCATCCGCTGATGACGATCTTCTACGATCGCAACATACTTAGCGTGTGTTTGGGCTTTCCGCTGGCGCCGGTCGCCGATATTTGTTACTATGGACGCAAGCCAAATCAGATCTTTACTGTTGAAGGTTTTCACGATGAAATTTACTTTGGCACCATTCAAGAGGATGTCGACGGCTGCCTGCTGAAGATTATGCAATATGTCTATCAACCTATATTTCGCAATTACAAAGATTGGAATGACAATATCAAGAGTCGCTTCTGCCGAGCAATGGATAAATTTCTCTGCTATCTCACTAGCTTGCATTACAAGATGGCTGGCCTGACAGTTTTGTATGTGCCATATGTGGTGAAGCAGATCTCACGCCCAGATGTGCAACACGATCGCGAATTTGTCAAAAATCTGGAATCGATTGTAGTCTACTGGACAACGCAAATACGCACGCTTTTGAACGATAAGACGCTTGTGGTCCAACATGATTTCGTGGTGCCCACAGAAGAGTATGAATTCTGGCTGTATCGATGTGTGTACCTGATTTAAAAATTTTCTACTTAAACAAAATTTAAAAATTTTCCCCTATCCTTTGCTTTTCGTAGTCGAAGTACTCCAAGGATTAGACACACAACTGCAACACGAAGACGTACAGCAGATCATACAAGNAAATTTTCCCCTATCCTTTGCTTTTCGTAGTCGAAGTACTCCAAGGATTAGACACACAACTGCAACACGAAGACGTACAGCAGATCATACAAGTATTGCGCAACTCTCATTCCGTTTATATTAAGCAAGTGGATGAACTGATCCAAGAGTGCCACAATGAAATGGAAGAAGCCAAATCAAATATTAAATATCTATTCTTACTCATCGAGCCGTGCTCGTTGATTGACAAAGCCGAATCTCCCGCTGCAGTAGCAGCACTCATACCACGAATTGTGAATATCATACGTTACATATGGTTGAACTCCGAGTACTATCAACGTCGCGAACTCATCACCGGACTATTTCGTAACCTGAGCAATCAGATTATAAAATTTTGTCTCGACCAAGTCAATGTCTATAAGGTGTTACAGGGCAACTCGCGTTTTGGCATACGTATGGCTAATATGTCAATCGATTGCTGTCTCTCATACAAGGCCATCTATGACATAATGTCCAAAGAGCATGCCACGCGTGAGCCTAAAATCGGTTGGGATTTAGAAAATGCAATGATTTTCAATCATGTGGATGCTTTCATTGAGCGGCTTAATGATCTGATTGATATTTGTGAGTCGATGATTGTATTTGGACGTCTAGATGAAACCGAGGCAATACCAAAGCCTACCTTTGGCGGTACTAACGGCGAAGAATTCGAGCGAACAGCAGAAGGCGTTGAGAAACAATTTATGATACTGCTGGAAGCATTAGAACATGATTCCAAAGAGCTAATATTAAACGTCAACAAAAACGAGTGGTGAGTAGGAGATACTTAGGCTCTCACACCTTCACGCTTATAAAATCGCCTAATGGTCCGGGAGCAAGCAAAAAACTAGCCAAGTGGTTATATCAAGAGTCATCTAAACTGTTAAATTATTATCTTTTTACTTTTCTTAAACTTGAAGTCCAGCACTCTTCTGCTGACTACACATTAGGCAACCAACATTAAATATCAAGATGTTTTAGTCGGCGTTATTATGTCGTTGTTGTGGTTGTAGAGGCTACTTAAACCTGCCGAGAGTCTCAATAGTTGTCAAGCTCGACTAACAGTTGGCCCAGAAAACGTGCCTATTCAAAGGGGTCGACTAGTTGAGTTCGGTTGGGTGGGCATGTGAAGAGGTGGTTGTTGTCATTTAGGGAAACTTCACATGCTAGACATACATGGGTGTAGCCTCGATAGTAAGAGTTCAACCTACTCCAGTACCCAGACAGCAATTGAGCCAGTGTCTCTCTTGATAGCAGGAACTCTCCTCTGAAATTTGAATGGACTTAACTCCGATGACGACATTCAAAGTTCACGGTGCCGAGTCCAATGATTGACGTAGGTACTTGTGATCCTCATCCTTCAGTTTGCAGAGAAGTCTTTTGACGTGCCCGAGCCTGTGCCTGTTTGGGAGCTCTCGTATGTAGTAACCGATAGGGAACTGCTTGCTGATCATAATGTTGAGCCCTTTTACTTGACGCATCTGTGCCTGGTTATGAAGGTGATCTTCAGGCGACATCGGGCAGCTGTCCGAAGTGCTGCAGTTTGGCTGACCTAGGGCTTCATCCACTGCTTCCTACTAGTCCCCGGTTCTGTACTTTATTTGCCATTATGGTTGCGTGAACTGAAAAAGAGAGCCGGCATCAAAAGTTACCCGAATAATTGGTATTTCGGTGGCGTGGAATCTCAGCCGTTGCCCGACCTCTTTCATCCTGGTGGTGCAAATGGTTGTCGAGGATTTCTTAAGAGGGTTGTTATTTCGTCTATCTAAACCTGTTTAGATAGGTAAAGCCTTTATCATGGTTTGTATGCTTCAATGGTTGGCTAGTGTATAGCCCGCAGTAACGAAAATACCACCAAAACCTTAATAAACCCCGATGTCTTCAAATTTGTTCACTTTTGTTGCAGGTATGAAGAGGTTCTGAA